CGTCCTGCTTTAAATTTCAATACATCATCTTTCGCACCATCGGCTACGTAAACTGCTCCATGTGAATCAACGTACAGACCAGTTGGTTGGCTCAGCTGATCTGCATTACTATTTGAAACAATACCAGCTACTGTCGTCTGTATCCCACTTTTAATGTTTAATTTTTGAACACGACTATTTGTTTGATCTGTATAATATAAATAAGTGTAACTTTTATCAAAGAATAGATTATATGGAGCGATTTCGGAGACGAGTATAGTGACTTTTCCAGTTTTTTTAACAGTTTTTAATATACGGCTATTTCCACTATCAGCAATGTACAGATTTCCACTACTGTCTAAAGCCATATCTGTTGGATCATCTAACTGATTAAGTGCTGAACCGTATCCATTACCTCCGGCAATTGTAATACCTTTTTGATTCCATGTAGCTTTAGCACAGAGGTTTTGTGGTGAGGATGTTGATGGCCGTGCAACGTTACCTGCTGATCTAAAAACATCTGAAAGATTATCAAAGGCTGATGCTGCTGCAAAAAATTAATTTAGTTACTTACACAGCACAAACTAAAATCAGCAGTAATAATACTGCTGCTGCTGATATTTGATTGTAACACATCTTTTTGTCTTCGATTTTACTCAGTGGATGGTAGTGTAATGTATCAGCGAGAATCTAAAGTAAATATGAAATGCAAAGCAGGTGTATGTACAGGTTTCACTCACCTCTCTCTCTCTTACCTATTTCTCTATTGCTAATGACATAAACAAAAATGAAGAAGAAACGTCTCCTTTTCTATCTCTCTATATATTGCGTTTGAGAGAGAGAAGCAGAGGAGTAGATTTGTCATGCATGACAGATTAAGGAGATAATAATAATGGCTATAGCAGATAAAAAACGAAAAATTAACGAATGGTATGACTGTATAATTAGGGAAAATACCAACTTAGTCATTACAGGTAGATATTGCGACACTATGTATTCAGCCGCGACAACTATCTAGAGTTATTGACTTCTTTTCCCAAGTAAAAAATTAAGAAGTCATCAGCATCACACAAAACGTGTGAACGTTTGTATTATGACAACAATGCCTAAGCGAGTTTTTCCAAAATTGGGAGTAAAGGGGCCATGACTTCCTCTAAAACGGGAGTAAATGAGTCTTGATTTTATTCGAAACGGAAGTAAATCATTAATGACTATGTTCAAATTTGGAGTAAATCACTCTCCGGGTTTCTCCGAAATGAGAGTAAATCGTTCTTATCTTTTCCCAAATTGGGAGTAAATTTGACCAAATTTTTTAAAAAGTATGGGGGGTAACCCTCCCCCCGGTCGAGCCGCCACTGATATCACTCTTTACATTCATGTACTCACATGTACTATTCGATTATTTAGATGAAAATAATTTAAATACTGGACATTATTTTA